TTCAACCCAAATGGAAGGGTTTACTAATCACGAGTCTACATTATACATGTTGCAAACTACGCAGACTCTTGACATCTCTTGACATCCAAAACGGACATCTCTTGACATCCTTTCCGCGGAAAGACTCACGTTCACTCGGACATCGCGCCACAGTTTTCATTGGACATCTCCCCACCGCCAAACCCCGTCGTTTGGTTGCTGCGTGGCTGATGATCCAAGAACTTGGGCACCCGAAGTGCTTCACCTGCGCCAAACCAATCCGTTTTTGGAAAAGCGAAGCGCGTCCTTTTGGAGGTGTTGCGGTCCCTTGACCCCACACGAGGTGACGATGATGGCTTTGCTGCGTTGCTGGCTTTGCCTAACTAATTTGATTGAGGGAAGCCTTCTCCTGCGGCTGAACTGTGGTCACCTATGTTTGGATATTTGGTGCAGTGTTACAGCCGCCTCTGGACCTGGGGCACCAGACATGGCCACAGCTGGGATGCACATAAAGAGCTCTTGTCGGTACGAAGCTCTGCAGCTCCGCTCATGGAGAACAAAAGTGGATGCAAAACAAAGGAAACCAGATCCAAGAATCTATATATATATATATCTCTTGACTTTCATAAGGCGAGGCCTGTGTCCAATCAAACGCTCCGGCCCTCAGTCGGTCTCATGGGGCCCCGTCGGAACCGTGCGAGGCGAACGTCGCGGCGCGGCGCCTTCCTCGCTGGGCTCCGACAGCAAGCGCATGACCTGCAGGAGGTGGTCACTGAGATCAGTCCAAGAGGAAGTCAAGAGGGCTGGAGGAGGTGTTCGATCTGCCCTTCCTTTTTTGAGGTTTTGAATCAGATTGAATCAGAAACCCTACAGCCCTATCAAGTCATTGTGCATTGATGGCAGGAGAGCACGAGGTTGGTTATCCGGAGCTGTGGTCCCTCTTCATAATGCACTGCCACCCCCTCTCACCTTTACCTCAGCCAACCTTGGCCAGTCGCAAACAGTCGCCAACGCCAACACAAAAGAGCTCCAATGATCCACCCCAAAACACGGCTGTGCCCAAAAAAATCCACCTTCTCCCCCAGAAAGCCCCAGAAAGCCAAGGCCAAAAACCACCTTCTCCCCCTAGTGCCCCAGAAAGCCAAGGCCCTTCTTGGTCTGCTGGGAGAGGTTCCTCCGGCCGGCCTTCACTTCATAGTTCGCTCGCTGGAGGCTGGCATCGGGCAAGATCCCAGCGCCCTGTCCGCAGCGCATCTCCTTGATCGCCACCTACCGTGGAGACGAGGCACGGACCGGCTTCACCGGTGGGGGTGGGGGTTGGTAGAACCCCCAAAGCCCGGGGGGTTTGGGAGCCCAAAAGAGACTGAAACGGGTTGGTAGGGGGTGTTGCCCTAGAGGAAAATACATGCACAACTGGGGTCGATGAGGTTAACCAAGTTGCTTTTAGATCCTTGATGCATACGTTCCTGTCATTCCAAAGTGGGGATGAGCCTGCTCAAGGGCCGCGCCCCGCCCCTCCGGTCAGCAGTGTCCACCTCTGAGAAAACAATAAAGATTGGATAGAAAACTCAGATACAGCATCTGTCACCAGGAAGATGTTGACCATGAAATCCTCTACAGCCTCCGATGGTTGTTCACTTCCATGCTGATTCGAAGTGTCTCCGATATGGCAACTTTCCGGTCTGTCTCCGGTCTTGACCGGTGCACCTCCTGACCAGTCTCCTCACAAACAGCTCCAAAGACCTGCAGCGGATCCCACTCGCCCCGCGGTGCAGCGGATGAAGCTGGCGAGCTTCACCCGAGCTGGATCACCCGCACATGCCTTGAGGCCTTACCAAAAAGATCCAGAAAGAACATGTACATCGAGGGTGTCCCATTTGGCATAACTTTTGGCCTGTCCAAAAAGTCCATTCTCAAAGATTGATTTTCAAAGCCGATCATCTGGATCTACAAACATCAGTAGACATCGCCGGTCTGCTTCTCCATCCGCCATGCTTCCTGTTTGGCCACTGGAGCCGAGTCCGGTACCCGCGCATAAGCTCCCTCTCCGATGGCCTTGGTTGTCGCAGGGTCTGATCGCTGTTCAAGATGCTCTTCAAGGCTAGCGGCTACGCCTCTTCACGCGATGGTCAATGGTTTCTTCTGGCAGCTTGTTCCGCATGAGACTTCTGCACTTTGGGTTCATCGGTTTGGTGAGTGACATCAGTGACATCTCTTGTCCTTCGGCTTTGGCTCATGTAGATAGATATTGCCAGGAGAATACTGCACGCATAGTTCACACTAGATCTCGGCCTCAGGGTGATGGAACCAGGACTACTCACGACTCTTCCTGGTCAAGCATGGATGCCATATGAGACTTGCTGAAGAGACACTGTAACCAGGGAGGTTGTCGGAGTGGGATCTTTCTTGTTGATCTTTGTATGTGGTTTGAGAGGTCAATCGGTCAATCTATACAAGAATGTATGTTCCCCACTCATCATGCAACTCCACCCCGAAGCAGATGCTCCCATCAAAAACAGTGCTTGCCAGATCCTTACTGCTCTCATCTGTTCAAACTCCTTGACTGGTTTGTCAAAACTCTCACCATTTGTCAAAATGCTTCCTTGTCCCCACTCCAGTGCGACGGTCGAGGCTCCTCCGGCTCCTCCTCCCCGGGTCATTTGAGCTACGAGCGTCGCGTTCGGACGCTGTGCTCGGTGGAGGCCATCGAAAGTAGGTTGGAGGCCATTACTACTAGTAGCAAGAAGCTACTTGGCTCGGCTTCCCGGCCAAGCCAACCCGCAAAGGCCGCTGGCCCACCGTCACCAACTCGGGGCTTCCGGGCGCCCGCGTCGCGCGTGGACGAGTCTGGAAGGGTCAAGGCTGGTGGGATCTGGTAGGAGCAGGAGAGGTTCCAAAAGATCTATGATTCATTCTCATTCCATGCTCTACTTAAATCACAGCAATGAGCTCGTTTTTTTTTCGATCTGGGACATCAGACTAATAAAAGGGGGGGGGGGGGGGGGGGGGGGCTCGAAGATTTGCGACAGACTCCCCAACCGATCGCCCTGGTCACCCCTCCTGGTCAGTCCGGATTCGCAACACCTTCGAGTAGTGGTGAACTGATCGAATCAGCTCGGACGGGATCTCTTCAGACAGCCCTGAGGTTCGTGGCAGCCGCGACCCCCCCCGTCACGGTTCCACAGGTTTTTTGGCCACTCGAATTCGCAAATGAGAAGACCTACACCACTTAGATCTACTCAGGGCACCTGCCTACTTAGGCCTAGGCCACCTAACCGCCCAAACACGTGAGGAAACGGGCCCATCTTTGGACAGGATCGGATGCAAAGATCGTCGATCGGATTCCTCCAAAGGGAGACTCCCCCCAAGCGGCTCCGTTTGCATCTCCTAGCAGTTCAGTTTCAGATCAGTTTCAGTGCTCGGTGTCGGTTTCACTCTCAGACCTCTAGGTTTTCGGAGGGACGTTCCGCAGTCTTCCTTGAGTTTATACTGAAAGGCTGCCATCCGCGACCTGTGGGGATTCGCTGTCTCCACCACGGATGGTCTCCACGCCTGCCCCTCCTGCAAGGGCAGCGGTTCCTTCGGCAGAACAGGTGGCTGCCAGCGGAACTCCTGGCCGCGGCACGAATGAGCGGCAAGGGACGGGCCGACCAGAGGATCTTCACGTGAACGACGCGTAACAGTGCCGGACTGGTGCATAAGTGAAACAAAAAAGGGAAGCTCTTCCAAAAACACCTGGCCACTGGCAGAAATGAGGAACATGTTAGCTAGGGAACTCGCAGAAATGAGGACATGAGGACAGTGCGAAAAGAAGGGGAATGCTTTTGGGGGAGTGTTGAAATCAACATTGACCTTTTAGGAATTCCACGAAAAGAAATGGTTGGTGCGTTTCTCTCCCGTGTTTTCATGGTCTGTGGTCGATGGTCCTCGGTTTTCCATTGGGGCCGATCGATGAGAAAATTCTCTACCAATGCCATCCTGCTGTCCTTTGGGGAAGACTAGAGGGGTCGATGCCACCATATAGCTACTAGCACATTGGTTGTTCACCTGAGGGCATCCCCTATGAATCAACCAACCAACAGGCAAAGGCCATTGATGTTCCCTACACCTACACAGTCTTTGTAGAGTTTCTGACTGTTATTGACAGATCACCGCCAGCCAACTGGCATATAGGTATGCCTGAGCACTCCCAACCGATGCCTTTTCAGCAGGTTTTTCCTGTTACAGGACTGGCTTTCTGTTACACTGTTACACATCTAAGCATGGCCCTGCATGGCCCTGCATGGCTGACACATCATTCGATTCGCAGTTCCAATGTTGCTACATCCCAGATATACCAAGCGTCATGGTCTTCGGCCTGTCGAAGATGACCATTTAAATCATTTATATAAGGGATTTGCAAGCTTGCTACACCAGGTCTCTCACCAATTGGTATGCTATTTTCATCAAACCAATCGACTACTGTACTTGGAGCCCTTGACACCTGGACTCCTCTTCCAAAAGGCTTTCAAACAGCCAACGAACAGGTCCGCTGGACAGCGCCCGCATCTTTTTTCTGCGATTTCACCGCGGGTCATTTGGCTACTTTTGCTTCCACCTGCAGCGTGAAAACAAGGCATGCAGGTTGGGTTTGTTGGATTGTCAGCACATCGAACGAACTGCTCAGAGAACGATGGAGTGATTGAGAGTCCTCTTGAGTCCAGTGAATGAAGAAAAATCTAAGGCATCGCACCTTGTCGAATGCTGCTTGGCTGCAGACAATCTTCTCCTTTATGTCCTTAACACGGACGCCCTTCTCCCTCATCCCTCGGACGCAACAGCGTGCACTTCCTCAATACGATCAATACTTCGGTCATTTGGAACAGGCTCTCAATTCAACACCCAATGCGCCCAACGTACTCGAAGAACTTCTTCGAAGAAGCCCGGGTCTGCTTCGGATCCCAGCTCAAGCAGCACTAAATTCACTACACTCAGTCAATCTCAATCATGGTTGCGTGGACGGCCCCCGATCTCCGATGATCCTTTTCAATTCATCCGAAGACCATTTCCAGGTGGTTTTCACTCCACGTCCACCGATGATTTCACTACGAAATCAGGAGACCAAAGGATTTCCAGCACCGCGCGGCAGGGAGTTCTGCCGTGGCCAGGAGCTCGAGCAAGGCCTCCGGGTCGTCGGAGGCCAAGAGCATCTTCGCCGAGGTCGCGGTCATGAAGCCTGTGGCAAAGCGGAAGACTGGGGGACGTTGAGGACGTGGAGGACGGATGGCGAGGGCGTGGATGGTATGGAAAGGAGATAGAGAGGAGATGTTGCGACAAGCGTCGCAAAAGTAGGTCGGAGTCTCGAAAAGCAACCAAGAGCTGAGTTGCATGTCTTTGCATCAAAAGGCTTGCTGACCTAGCTCCTGGGCTTTCTGGCTCTTCCTCACATTCCAGTCACCCAACTCACCCAACATCTGCCCCAGAATTGCCAATCCGATGACCCCGTCCCAGTCCTTCTTGACAGGCTTTCTCAGCCCATAAAAGCAAATGGTCCCAGTATCCAGCTCGATTCAGCAGACCGACGGGCTTCAAGTGGATGTTCAGCCGAAGGCGACCAGCCATACAGGTCCGATCCGGATCCTCCGGAGGTTCTGCGGAGCGGGGCTTCGGCGGAGTTGTTGAACAGAAGCCGCCCCTGAGAACCACCCAAGAGGTCGAGAATCACCCGCCCTGGTGAAAGTTTCGGTCGACATCTCTGCAGTTGGCTGCCAGACCTTCTTTGAAAGATGATCATGATGACGTGGATGATCATGATGACGTGGATGATCATGAGGACGTGGATGATCATGAGGACGTGGATGCTACAGTCATGCCGTCCTTGCGTGCTCTTCTCAAACCCTGAGTTTGGAGGTCTGGCAGGGCTGATGGGGCTGGTCTGTCGTCTTTTTTGGCTTCGCAACCCTTTCTTGCTAAAGTGGATCTTTTTGCCCAAAACCTTCACCTTCACTGTGTTTCGTCTGCGACTCGACTGCCCTGTGAGACGACTCGTTTCGAGTGCCCCACACCCTGTGTCTGCCATGAAGTCTGTCGCCGTCTGGCCAAGAAGTCAACACATCCCCGGTTTTGAAGAGGCCTGGATCTTCTGAGCTCGGAGAGACCCCAAGAGAGACCCCTCCAACCCTCCAGCTCTCAACAAAGAAACGCCCTGTTCGGAAGCCCAACCCCCTGTTCGACCCCTAAGACCCTACAAAACGTGGGGATCCCTGGTAAATCCTTTGCAAGTCCAGACGCTGCGTCCAGGTGGTGACCTCAGCGATCTCATCCAAGGTCCCCCAGCCACCCGGTAAGGCGATGAATCCATCCGCCAACGACGCCATCAAGGCTTTCCTGGCCCGCACCGAGGCGCTTCGACGACCGAGGCTAAGAACCCGGGTCCCGAAAGAGGAGAGGCCTCGGGGAGACGCCCGGGTGCGGCAGAAGCGAAAGACCCCCATGTGGTGGAGCCAGCCAAGCTTACCTCTCTGCAAAAGCACAAGGATCTTCCGTAAACGACAAATGGCTGAGTGGCCTCACGGGCTCGTCCGTGGATCGTCCGGCCTCTCATGCATCGTGTCCACCACCCGAAGTGAAGTGCATCCTTGATGCGCCTGCTCCAACTCCACCATATCCCTGCAGCGAAGAAAACAACTGCGGCACTGAAGCCAGTATTTTTATTATCTAGGGTTCGGCTTCCTAATGGGTCGAAGAAAGGTTGAGATCCCAGAACTGCCGTGTCTTTTGCAACTGTTCCTCCGTGAATGTCTGTTGCTGTGGGTGGTTTTATGGACACTCTCCCCTTTCAATCATCACGTTCTACGTAACAAGCCGCTACATGGTCATTGAGCAACAAGTAAACGAATGTCCTTTCAACTGGCAAGTTTGGTGGGAGCCAGGCGCGAAGCAAGACATCACCAAAACGTCTCACTGTGACATTCCCAAGTCCGAAGCTCCAAAGCTCCCAAAAATGGGCCATGCAACACCTAGCTCCTCGACTCAATCGCCTTTTTCTCGCCTAAATAGCCTTGGCCCTTGAGACCCACGGCACGTTCGAAGCGCCGCGTCCGAAGGGTCGCGCCGCCCGTCCTGGGGATCACGCCGATGACCTCGCCCTCATGGGCCAGCACGGCATCGGCCACAGCACCCATGAGGCCCACCTGGGCCGGTCGGGACCAGCAAAAAGGGAGGCGTTCACATGGAACACCTGGGAACACCTGGTGTCAGAGCTCACCACGGTTCCACCTCCCCCTAGTTTCAGAGTTGAACACGGGTGCTTCACCTGGAAAAGACCTGCTCCGAGTGTCAGGGTTGATGCCATGGCGCACTGCAGCTTTTTGGGGGGAGGGCTTCCTGGCCACCAAACAGCTTCCCCCCCAGATGTCACTTCTAGGTCAAGGACCTACACCCTGAATCAGGGAAACCCTCTGCTTGTGCTTGTGGAAGGAAAAATCGTCTTCCCAGGATCTGGCCATGCCCTCCCTTTAGGACATGAGTCGGAGGCTTTACTTGGAAGACACACCGGCTTCCCACACAGCCCTCAGATCCGTACCCGCCCGGCCTTGCCACCGCCAAAGACCAGCCCAATCTTTCTCTTGGCCAGGGTCTCCCCCAAGGTGCTGGCCAAGCGCAAGTACCTCACCGAAGTTGGCGCGCGCGCAAGAGTGGTCCATGGGCCGTGGGCTACTTCCAAGCCCAATCGTTGAGACATTGGGGTGCCCCTTCGGATGAGTCTGGCCCCAAGCAATTTGTGAGTCAAACAAGTCTTGAGCCAGCATCCCTAAAACCATCAGGGTCACAAGAACATCTTGAACTCAGCGACCACATCAACATCTTTGATCCCCCAACACCAATCAAGCACACCGAACACCGCCCATGTCACTAATATCCAGCCGCCCAGACCGGTCCTTCCCAGCTGCCCAGACCGGTCCTTCCCGTCCAACGACCTCGGACCAAGGAGCTCCTCGCTGACCTTGGAGCTGCTGCCCCCATAGACGCAAAGCCGCTGGAAGCGGCGGCCTGGCTCCTCGGTGCGGGGGTGGCTGGCGGGCGCCGCTGGGTGTCCTAGCGACTTGAGGTCTTGGGAGGGCGACCTGAAGATCCAAGGGACGACAACTCTCAAAGCTTGGTTGAGGTGACCAAATCGGAACTTCAACCCAGCTGGGAGGAGTCTTCGCAAATAGAATTACTGGAGTTCTCTTGGCATTGCAAAGGTCATGTTTGTGTATGGTGTCTAAGCCATTTCAGGATTTATCTCTGAACGGTCATTGTCCAAGAACGAGCTCGGGTACAATCTGCCTTGAACATTTGCTCCACTGCGCACTTGGAGTGCCAGAACGGATACTTGATATATCTTCAGAATCATATTTGGTCTGCCACACCACTGGGACATCCTGAGACATCCTGGGAAGTCCGGTGGTTGAAACATCTCAATCCAACGAGGAGCCCCATCCACACTGAAACGTGCGGGAAGCATACTCGCCGATGTTTGGCGAGTGCACGTATCTATACAAACTGTTCAAGTCAATTATCACTTCCACGAACCTTGGCAATCAGGATGGTCCTCCAACCAGGGAAAGTTAGGGTCTCATGCAAGCTTGCGCTCTTCAAGAACACCGCGTGATCAAGCAAACAAGAGACTCTGCTCATGGCAGCCGCTCAAGGGCTATGGCAGCTCCAGAGTATGGCTCGGCCCGATTTGGTCGCGCGGGCTGGGTTCACAAAGGCATGAGCCAAGCACGGTGTCATGCGAACACAACTTGACTTGATTGGATTTCTTTGTGGCATGTCAGCATGTCCATGCAGCTGGCCCATTCCATGACAAATGAAAAAAATGAAGAGCCAGAAGCTCAGGTAGATGCATCTCAAGGAATTCCGTTCCTTGGTACCTTCCTTTCTTCCCTTTCAGATAGAACTGAGGATGCACATGATCTCTAGCAGGTTCTGGTCGTTGTACCATTTTTCAGACACTGTATAGTGTCACAAATCACCTTGCTCAAGTGAGTACAGTCGGACTGAGGAACATGCGCCCTGTGAGTTCGAGCCCTGCAGGGGCCGCTGGTCTTTCCAAAAAAGGATCCCCCAGGCCCATCCAGGCACCACCAACACGGGTACTTTTGCCCATCCTCTTGGTCACCCTCATCATCCGCCGGCCCGAGAGAAAACTGAGAAAAAGAAGCTGACGATGGCCCGAGGACTCATGGTGCTCGGCGCCGCCTGTGCCCTGGTCTCCGGGCGTTTGTCCACCCTCGGCTGTTTGCTTGGCCGTGCTTGGCTTGGCTTGGGAAGAGGGAAGAGTCAAATTTTGCCCTGGAAGCTTGGGAGGATGATACAAGAAGTTCAAGTACTCGAGGGCCACCTAGCAGGACTTGCCTGCAAACACAAAGCCTAGGCTGACGATCCCTGCCTGTTTGAGCAGTGCGTGTCCCCGGGCAGCTCCCCATCTCAAGACATCCACCTGGGCATCCGGGCCAAACCTCAGGAAGATGCGCCGCACTTGGCCTCTTTTGGACTGGCACTGGCGCCACCGGGAGCACCGGATGCCTGAGGAGCAGGCGTCGTTTCACCGCTGGTGAGTGTAGGTAACACGACGGAGGAAGAAAGGAATACTATTGGAGATGCAAAACCATTCTGGGTCGGGGGGTTTACAGTAATTCCTATTCCGTTCTTGTTTAGTGGGGAAACCAATTCCCAAAAGAACTTCAAGAATATCCTGTGACCGGGTAGGAAACTCAGCCAGCGACGCAAAGACCCATCGCTGCGCCGGCTGCGGGCTGCCAACACGCATGAAGGGCGTGCCCTGCACTTGCAACACTCAGACTGAGTCTTTCAATCCCATGTTCACAAAGAGTTATGTCCTCATGTCACCCTTTTAGATATAAAGTTTCTTGTGGTTGTTTCTCTCACTGGTTGAGCAAAATAACATTGAAGAAAAAAACACCAAACACTTTAGCAAGCTGTCTCTTCTCTTTTCCGTGCGCTGCCTGGTTCCGTCGCACAGGTGAAGCCAGCCGAGCAGGGGAGAAGGTTCGATTGAACTGTGTCCTGCGCTTGGATGGACCGCTCTCATGATCTCATGGTAGACCAAGCTTTGGAAAACGAGTGACTTCACTCATTCTCCAAGCCAAGGTCCCTCGATCTCGAAGCACGTGGGCTCGAAAGTTCGGTCCAAAACACACAGCGCACGCTGTTCAGTAAGCGGTGGATCCCCGGAGATCTGCAGAGTTCGCGGTAACCACTATAGCAAAAGCAACGACCCCAAATAGCAAAAGTGCACTTCTGGCATTCTTCCACTTGAAGTAACAACAGCTCTCGCGCTCTCGCTCTCTCTGGTGAAAAACGAGCTGTTTTGGTGCAAGACCACAAATAGACCCGAAAAGGACGAAAACGATTCTCTGACCGCTTTGGGTTCCCAACTTCTCCACACCCGGCTGCTCCTCTGCTCACTCACCGGCGCCGGCACACCAGCCGGCACAGCAACCGGCACTGAGGCCGGCACTGAGGCCGGCACCGGAGCTGGCACCGGAGCTGGCACCGGGGCTGGCACCGGGGCAGGTGCTGCAGGTGTCACCTGGCGTTGGTAGACAAGGCAGAAGGATCTAAATTGCAAAAACCAGAGACCGAAGAAAAACAGGTCATGGGCAGAACAGCGGGGTGTATTGTTTTTGGGTGGGTCATCGACCACCCAGCACTTGTCAGCCAAATCCAATCCTCTTGGCAAGACTTCGCCCTCCCAAAATCCCATCCCGGCACAGCGGCCACCGGGGGCTTCGGAGCAGCTCCGACGGGGATTCGGATCAGCCGCAACAGCGCTCCAATGTCCAAATGTGGAGGACAACCCAAGTGGTGCACTTTCAGCCCCCCCCATCGCCGGTCCCGTCCCCGGCCGTCGTGTGGCTGGCCGTTGAGGGGTGGACGGCCTACCCCGCGCGCCTTCATTTGCGGATCCATGGGGAGCAAGGGCGCCCGCAGCGCGGCACCCGGGAAGACGATGCCCCTCACCCACGAGGCGTGCCAGGTGGCAGGGAACACGGACGACACGGCCATCCACAAAGGGAAGGCGAACCGAGGGCGGCGGGTGACCGGACACTTCACCAGGCTTGGTCCAACACTTCCCATGAGGATGAAAATGTGACTTGTGGACCCTGGCCGTGGACGAACGGGGTGGGCCTGCAGGCATGTCCCTATAGTGGTTATTCTGATTCTTGTGTGGTTACACTGCAACCATCATAACCCCCATCTGCACCTTTCTGTTTGGGCAACCTCCACCGCAACCCACCCACCCTCCAGACCCACGATCCACCCACTCCGCCCTCTGTTGCCTGACATGGAGGGGCGAACCTTGCCTGGTCCGTGCCGTCGGTTCGGCGGTTCGCCGTGCTTGTAAACACCGCTTCGGTCACCCAAATCAGCCCGTTGGAACAAGCAAGACTGGCAGTTGTCGACCATCGCATTGCTTTTCTGGATCGAAGCATCCAAACGGTCTTCACTAAAGAAATGAAGCCAAATTGGGTAGGGTCCCAAAGAAACGAAGGAAGACTTCCCAGTGACCATACAAAAGGCTCCCATGAGCCACGTTATACCGTCCACCTCTTTGAATGATTTCAACGTGACAGTGTCGAAGTCGGAACAGGTGGAGATGACTGGAGTTCGTCCTGGCTTTTGCACTGCTGCCGTTCACCGGAGAAAACCCCGCAGCTGTACGATGGCCTCTGATGATGTCTACCTGGAAGCACCCCCCGACCGGTCGCAGTCCGGGCCCAGAAAGATCCGGCCCGACCGTCCTTCGGCCCCATCCCCACCCCGACCCGTCGGCCTCACAGGTCGTGGGGGGGAGAAGGATCGCAACGTCACTCCTCGACGTGGCGAGGCACCGGGGAGTCGCAAGGGTCCGGCGCGAGGACGGCGATGGCTCGGGTGGTCCGGGGAATTTTCGTCACCGGTCCGGTGGCTCGGGGCGTTGTTTGTTCGTCTTCTGTTCTGTGAAAGTTGGAGGGTGGAATTGTCACGTTGAACTGGTCTTCTGTTTCGAAGTCTCATCCCTTGAAACCCCCAAGCACTGATGATCCAATGTCTAACTGTCAACCAGTGATTTTCCAGGAAGAACCAAAACCAACAGCAACTTGGAAGATGAAAAGAACGGGCCCTCGGTGGACATCCCAAAAATAGCAACGGAAAGCGAGCAAAAGCTTTCCTACAAAGCTTCAACTACCAAAGTTTGGCTGTCAGGCTTCTCTGAACCAAGAAAGACTGGGAGGCGTTGCTGACCAACTTTTCTTCTGGATTGGGCTGCGTTGATCAGCACGCTGCGAACGGGCAGAAAGGCATCAACTCTTGGAGCGCCGTGTGAAAATCGACGACGTCAACACTGTGAAAACCTTCAAGCCATTGGTGCAAAACAACTTACCCTCGGATTCCAACCATCATTCACTTAATAGGCTTTACCGAACAGCCCTTGTTTTACCAAGCATTCTACACTACAAAAACCAGGTCGAACGGAAGGCCAGGGCATCGATCTATGCTGCTTCTTCCTCCCCAAACTGTTGGGCAGCAATGGGCCTCGCTGACGGATGGGGGAGGCCCAGCGCATGGGCAAGGGAGATGCCGCTGCACCTGGGCATCTGGTGCTCTTGGGGGCAGAAGTCATGGTCCCTTGACAGTAGGTCTACCCCCCCAAAAAACCATGCACAGTGCAGAAAGAGGCTTGACAGGGTCGGAGTTCAGAAAGTGAATTCTCGACCAAGAAACAGATGCCTTATAGCTGAATACCTGCAAGCATTACACCATGGAGTTCATAACAAACACCGTGGATGCACTAGACCAGCAACCGGAGTCTTAGAAAGAAGGGTATCTAAACTAAACTAGAAATTCTGAAAGCCTGAAAGTCCGCAGCTGGTAGCCGGGTTCGAGCTCAAAGGTAGTCTCTTTCTCTAATCCTGTGATTGCTTTGTTGGTGGCATGTGGCTGAAACAACGTGCTCGCACTCGCCACTGGCGACCAGGCATATTCCCATTCGGACGGCCCAAAAGGCGCACCAGAAACCCAAGGCCCTGAGGTCAACCCAAAAAAGCCTCACCTCTCCCGGTCTCTTCAAAAATGGTGACACCCTCACCAAGAGACGCTCCAGCCGCTGACCCGGCATGAGACCTCCAGTTTCGGTGGATGGCCATCCGCTGCTCGAACCCTGGAAGTGGTGAAGTAAGAAATCCTGGTCCCTTCCAAACCAAAAGAACTAAGGGTCTAAGAGTACGCCTGAGGACAGTCAAGTGATGGAAGGATCTTGTGAGGGGCTTGCCCCCGTAATTCAAATACTTCCCCAGGTTTGCTGGTCGACCATGATGTGCCTACCTTGAGTGGATCTCAGTCTCAGCAATCGTCGCAACAAAAACCAAAGATCCTCCACAAGTCCCAGCTGCAAATTCTGCAAGCAAATGTAGAGTAGGGAAACCGCAGGTGTCTGTCCAGTCTTTAACTGTGTTTCTGGCTGGCTCGAAACTGGCTGGCTCGAAACTGCCCGCCTGCTCGAAAGGTGGACACAGAGCGCGCGCCATAGGCCTGAAGGACGGAGAAAGGCACAATCCAAACCTGCAAGCTGTTGTTTACTCCAATCATTTCTACTCAAGTTGAGAGAGGCCGCTGAGTCGATCTGTTTGAATAAGAGCAGAAAGAGCCCCTCTCATTTTCCATCACACATCAACTTTCAACTCAGCTGAGAGTTTCTCTCAACCCAACACCGCTCCCA